TATATATATATATATATATATATATATATATATATATATATATATATATGTATAAATTAAAAAGAAATATTGTAAAACCCGTATATGTTTTGTGCTCCGATAAAATAAATGAGACACTTCTTTGTTCTACAGCTGTTATTATCGTCGTGACAACGAATGTTAATTTCATTATTTGTTTATCACTAGTATTACAATTTGTGTTTTTAATACTTCAGCAACCGTATTTAACAGCTGTAGGTTAACCATTCGTATATTACCTAATAACGAGCAACCCGCTATGCTGTCTTGTGTTAAACGACGAAGTGCTCCTGTCAACTATCAACCTGCTATACTTTCTTGTACTAAGAGATACAAAGGTGAGTACGCTAGATCGATCGGTAACTCTATTGCTCTGCCGGATTTTTATTGAACGATGATACATGATAATAATAAATGTATTAATTATGAGAGACAAGAGAAAATTAATATAATAATAAAATATAATGATAATAAAATTAAGAGAACAAGTCACAAGCTAGTAATCGATAGAGTGAAGAATAATAACCAATTATAAAATATGATTAGTTGCCTTTCAATGTATTTACCTGATTATTCTTTATTATTCTCTGACTCTGAATTTTTTCCATAAAATGTAAAAGTGAGTTAACGAGGGATAAAAAAAACAGCAGTAATAATTAAAAGATAGAAAATCACAGTCAATTCAATATGTAATAAATAATTTGTTTTGTATAGTTTTTTTCCAATTTCCTCTCTAATCTAGAATAACTGAAAAAACTGGTTTGCTCTACTAAGACTAGTCAGCCTTGTGATGCTTTAAATCAGTGTCAGTGGCAAAGAAGACTCGTATGTTTTGCTGCGCTTCGTTTTATATATCGATACGTCACGGTCACGTGAGCTTAGCGCGACTATTCGAAAGTAGCATGGAAACACATTAGGCACACGAGAAGTACACATTTAATGACCGTGCATACGTTTATATTGAACTTCTTGGATTGGCCAAACAATAAGAAATGATCTATGATTCCTTCCGTGGCGAGCAACGTGTTTTTGTCTTTTTATATTGTCGAGACTTCCATCTCGGGCCTTCACAAGAGAGTAAATGAAAGTACGACTGATGATGATTCGGGATGATTTCAGCCAGTCCGTCGAACTCTCTTTGTACACTATTTTCTTCGTGGAAGAAAGTTCGAACTATTAAGTTACGTAACAGGCTAGCTGTTGAGGGTGAGAGAGAGAGAGAGATGCAGATCACACTCGTCGAGCAGTCATATAACTCATAAATTTATACCGTGATGTAAAGGATAAATCCTTCGTAGTTCTTTTTTTTTTTTAATTAAACTTCTAACTTAACCAATATCGATGCATTTTGCTTCCTCTTTTTCTGTTACTAAGAACCTCTAGATAATCTTATTATGCATTATGATACATTATTAACGAGTTCTGAGTAACATGTGTCATAATATTAACCTTCGTATAATTAACATGAAAAAAATTATCAATAAATGGATGTAACTATAATGACACATTTGAGAAAAGAAGTAGAAAAACTATCTTTTTTATCGACCAGTATATCAATTATAACTATAGATGTCACAAATTAATCTTTCCAAGTTATTACCTCGACAACTGATAGTTATTAAAAAAAAAGTTATTTTGCAAATTCAGATATTTTTATATCTTAATGAATGAAGATGCAATAAACAATGAAGAATCGTATAAAGAAATTATTTTAAGACAATTTCGATATTGTCAAAATTATTTTATTCCCAGAGAGTCCACATAGTTATTGCAATTATTATGCGTGTAGAAGCTAATATTAATATTGACTATAAAATGCTAAAGTAGTCACTGTAATCATAATTTTTTATCGTACGCGTCTTTAAAGACCTCGCATATCGTCGATTATAAATATATCGGAAGCGGTTCGATTCAAGAAACAGGTCACCGTGTACATTTCGCCGAGAGACTATGTACAGACGTATTATCAAATATTAAACGCAGCTTATACCGTTACTAGTGCTTTAAGTATCGATATCGCGTTTCCTTCGACCATATATGGTCGTTTCGCAATGCGCTTCGCAATCAAGGTGATTTCAGTGTGATTTACGCATCATGATAGTTCAGCTCGGTTCTCGAGATGAACTCGGACATAGAAGAGGAAGAGAATCTCGAGTCACGGTCGTCTCTGCATTGATTCCAAGTAACGCACGCTGAAAAAAAGGGTTTAGTATTTGTAATCGCATAGTAATTGTAATCACTTAGTAAAATATTTATAGTTGAGAGCCATTTGTGTAGCGAACGTTGCTGTAATGTTGGTGATAATTATTTTATATGCATGTTGCTACAATTACCTTTTTGTTAGAAAAAATGTAATAGCGCAGAGAAACTATGATTCTAGTAACAATAGTCTTCTTTTCTCGCGCTCAGTGCATGTTTGAATTTTCGATTAGTTGGACACCGTGTAGAGAGCGCATTTTTCGTGTGATCTACATATTTCTCAATAATATTTATACATTGGAATCTTACATGCTGAACCACCGAGGTCAACGGTCAAGGCTGAGCTGCGAATGTTGCACCAATGAACACGTCGATAGGTGCTCACGCACCATGGTCCTCTTCAGCATACAAGACTGTCCGCGTCTTGCGTCACGAGTAGACTATAGGATTACTTCATAACGGAAACTGCACGGTCTGACGACGATCGAAATCATCGAGGAATTTTGCGCGTCGGTTTTGCGAGTTTGCGGACCGCAACGAATAAACGATAATGTGTCGTTCGGAAAATGTCTTCTCGGTGGCTCTCACGTTACTTGGCGCGTATCAGGTCGAACTTTTCGGACGTGCTGCAAGCATCCGGCAGCAACTTTCGACCAATTAATCGCCGCGAGTAGATTAGTGAAACGAAATGCGCGTACGTAATGCTCCTCTTTTGCAATATTACTAAACACGAGTGAAATTCGACTAGAAATCGAAACTGTCGGCGCTCTTGCAGTAATGAAAATTACGAGGTGCTTGCAAAGTGTATTATAATAGTAGTAGTGTAATTAGCAACCGCGCACTTCGCGCGAATTTTAACGGACAAGATTTCCTCGTTATTGTGTTGACTTGCCAAACTCTGAATCCTGCTAATTCAAGAAATCACTACGCAAAACAAAGAATCACAGGCACTTTCGTGATTTTGAGAGATCTTTCCCATTTTTATTATTTATTTCTTTTATACATATAGAATTTCGCTTAATTTTTTCAAATTAAATTCAAAACATTAAAAAATCCATACTAAGAAATACTTCCTTACACAGAATCTATGCAATTAACTTCGTATACAATAGCAAGTCGATTTTCCAATAACTTTAATCTGTCAATATAGAACCAGTAAGCGTGGACTTTGAGAGTTCGTCAAGGCGATCCTCTTTTTTTGACGTTCTTGCACTTTTTCTCGAAACCTCTATTTTTTCTTCTTCGACGCGCATAGATAATAGATAGTTTATATCCACGCGAAGTCTTTTTTCCAGAAAAATATGATCTACTAGTAAATCCGGTTTGGAGACAATAACAGACATCACCTGTTTCACAAGGATAATGGATAAAAACTATATTACATACCTGCTAACTCACTTTGATCGGTCAAAGTATTTAGAGAGTATTTAATGCGAACAAAGTAAACGTATATTCGGGAATCAAATAATACCGAGACTAATATCACATAGAAAATTTTATAAATGTTAATTCTAAATAAAATTAATATATTTTTCATAAAGATTATTTTTTGCGTCTTACTACACTATAAATTAACGCGCTCTTATCAAAATATTGCTATCGTGATTTGTGTCGTTGAATTTATCTCATTATTGAGATTTCCAAGTCATACGTTTTTCTTGTGAAATTTGTTTATTCAAAATATTCGTAAAGTCTCTTCTAGTCTCTAGCATTTGCATGCGAAATGGTTGTTTTATATAAAGATGGAATGTGACCGGTTTGACTGGACCGAAAGTTTTCTGATGAAAAAACAAAGATGAGAAACATATGTGGTTAGACGCACCAGTTAACGAAATAATGACCGAAATTGGTTCTAGAAGCGAACGTGACTGTTTCTCAATGAATTCGGAGGTCGCCACGAACTTGTATCTGCTGAAAAATACAAGTCTCATATGTCACAAAAATTTCATAAAAGAACTACTTTTTCATACAGCAAACATCGTTGGATGTGCGCAGAGCTTGCCCCCTCTAAACATTCGTCTTTTGCTCGAGACAGACGATTGCACAAGCGGCCGATTCTCCGCGAGGTCCGGACTCAAGTCGAGCCAGTTCTTAGTGGGCCTCGTCGTGGCTAGGTCACTCTTACTCTCGGTTTTCCCAGGTTTCGCTGCACTCTCGCTTCGTCAGTCTCTCCGAGCGACGCGGAAGATTAACACATTTACGAGCTCTGGTAATAGTGACGTGAAGTTATACAAACACACCAGATGCCAGCGCGCCAGTCTGGGGTGTCACAGGAATTCAAATTTTAATTCTTTGTGAATCCTTTCTTTAGGATCTCGAATCTCAATCCCCTTGAATTTTGTGTTCGCGTCACCCCACTTAGGGAGAAATTTTGTTGAATTACTCGTCAAACCTCGCGACGCGAAATTGGTATTACAACTATTGTGCATTGTCTCGAATCCTCGATATAATGCTAGGAATATTACTTGAAGCGAAAGTTCTGTTTTCAAATTTACAAATCCTGATATTTAATTGTTTGTAGTTTATAGTAATTCATCAGTTAGCACAGCGCTTCTCAAAATTTTCGAAACTTGAGTAGTTTGGAGTGTATAATAAAGAAAATAAATTTTTTTCTTAAAGCAGATCTTGCAGAGTGCTTTAAATTGTTATTATCAGTTTTTAATTATTTTTAGTTTTTAAAATTTAGCTTTTAGCTTCCACTTATTTTAAAAAGTCTAACGGATGTCCTTTCCTTCATCAGACATTTGTCTTTACTATTTTTCTCAAAGTTCTTATGACATTCTAATTTAAAAATTAATCGAAATTAATCGAACGTCAGACATGTCATATCAAAATCAAGGCGTATATCTTTCGAGAACATTCCGAGGTTCGTGAGGAACAAAGAAAAGAAGCGTGTACAACAATCATAAACACAAGTAGCTTTATCAAGGATCAGCGATCATTAGTTGCGTCAAAAATTCATCCATAATTGTAATTAGTTTGATCATCCTGCGCTCTGATCAAATGAACAAAAATATGATTGAAAAGTAGACTAAAATATATACTTAAAAGAAAAGAATAAAAAAAGTACAGCATAGATTAGGCCGCTGTGAAATAAGCAGTTGCAAAATAGACTATACAAGGGGAAATCACTCAGCCAACCATTCAAATCATTCAAAAGCAAATTACTCGAGAACATATCTCCAACAAATTTCCATAAAAGATACTTTCTGAGAAGATATGCTTGGAATTAGTGAAACAAGTGGTATATTTGAGTGTGTGCACACGAAGAAGGGTACAACTATATGTGGATAAACACGGATATGAATGAGGTGAACGAGGAAAAACGATGCGGCTGATGTGAGCAAAGAAGGAAAAGAAGTATTACCCAGAGGTACTCGATAGGTGATCCTATTACGCGATCTCGTTATTCAGCGATACTTCATTCGAGGAAGCAACATTCAACGTCAACGGTTGTATTGCAAAGGTTAGGTATTTATGATAATACGATCAGGAAGAACTAACAAAAAAAGCAATCTAAACTCATAAAATACATTTTTTACTTACCACATTTTTTCCTCCTCTTTCGTCTTCAGTTCAAGCTTAAGTCTTCTCAAATAGGAATATATAATTTTCTTTGTATGACATTGTAAGAGAAATATTAAGACATAAATTGAACGCAATGCTATGCATGAACGCATACAGAATTCGGGAACAGAAAACAGGCATGTTACGCCGATGCCAATCAACATTAGCGTTGTTCTTTTGATAATGATCGCGGAAGTTGATGATCTCTCTAGCGTATCATTGACTAGCAATCTTCTTTTTTTCAAGGATACGACTTGTTGTCGAATGCAAACAGTCATCGTGATCAAAGAAATTCTGCAACGTAACTCGACATGTCAACGCAATGATATAATATCGCTTTAATATCGCTCATACAATTTACTTTATTTCTTTTAATTGCACATAAATCGTTTCTGTTCTTTCCTTTCTTCTGCGTATACACAGTTTTTCATTGATGTATTTCTATTCTCTAGGATAGTGACGTTTGAAATGTTCGGTCGAGCGCATCACACAAAATAATCTTGCGTCAAAACTATTGATTATTCGAGCAATTGCCGATTTCTCGAATGATCAACAGTTCTGATGTACGAGTATGCAGATATGTCGCGACTTACTGGAATTTTCCAATGTCACTATGCCCGAGGAATAGAATTGCATTATTGGAAAACGGTGTACAAATATTAAGATGGCGTAGCTGTCGACGAGCGAATACTTCACGAGCAATATTTTGTATTTGAACGCTTAGAAGGTAAAAGTGTTTTGCGCGATACGTCGAACTTGCTTGACAAGTGATTACGTTCGACAACGACGTAAGCAAGTTCATCGAGAAGAAACGAAAAGAGGAGAGTTGAAAGAAAGGAAAGTGATCGGACGTAACCTTAGGCGGTCAGCCTCTCTCTTTCTCTCTTTCTCTCTCTCTTTCTTTCTCTCTCGATGTTTCATAATATGCGTAAAGAAATGAGCGAATTACGTGAAAGCAGCGTTGCGTGGCGGCACACGTAGTGCTCGCTCATCGCGCACATTTCTCAGTCGCCCATTGACATAATAACGTGCTAGCCAGCATTTTGTAATATCAGATATTGCGATCTGAGTAAAATATACGATTTACCGCACACTGTGTCTTCATCACGTAAAATTTATGTTAGTTCTCGATACATTTAAAATTGTTTCAAAATTATTTATCGGTGTATTAAACGTGTTTTAATGAAACTATATGTTAGTATATTTTATACTGACATATTCTTTTTATTCGTTAAAAATAAGAAATTGTTTCAAGCGCAACAAATTATTACGACTCAACCTATGTATGAGTTCACTAAAAACAAGTTCACTAATAACAAAACCTTTCGCGACGTGACCTAATTGATCGAACGTGGCGCAATGCATTCGGTTTCTCAATGAAAGTTTGTTAATCTGAAAATTCGAATGAATCATCAAGAAAAATAGCAGATTTTGAAAGAAGAAGTTTAGGATATTTGAAAAGCACGTAGTTTGCAGTATGTATCTCTTACGTATAGCTCTTACATAAAGTAAGAATTATATATTATAATATACGGAAACATTTTTTGTAGCTTACTTATTCGAATTAAATATACAGGATATGTAAGAATCAAACGCTGCTATTAGAGCAAGTATTTTAATAACGTAAGAATAATAATGTTTAATAGTTAAATGTCAAATAGTTTCCTGGATTTTACAACGCACGCTCCTGAATCTATCTTTCAAGTCAAACCGACCCTAAATCTCAATTTTTAATATTAATATTAAATCTTTAAGGTTGGTTAGTATTAATTAACACATGTGCATTAATACGTCGATATATTATATTATCCTTGCATTGTTAAGATATTCACTTCAATATCAACGTTTAATTCTTAATTTAGTTGTATACTTCCGAAAATAGTTTATATATATATATATATGTATATAAAATTATATTATATGAATGGATGTGTATATATATAGCATATTTGTCTGTTGTTAAATGCAAAATACTGGAAAAGAAAGAGTTCTTTTTAATTACGGCTCTGGAGTCAGATGACGTCAGATAACTGCTTTAAAATAGTTTCTGTTTGTTTGATATGCTGTTTATAAAAGTCACTATAAAAAGTGGCTTAAGCCACTAATAAAGTATCAAGTGGAGATTCCGCGTATTTTTCCTTCTCTCATATATTCTTGTGCAATGTGACCGAGAAACAAATAGTATCACTTTTTTCCTCATTTCTTTTTTAACGTAAAGATGGCAACTGCGAACTCATCGAATACTCTGATGGAGCTGAAAACCCGGCGACAACAGTTCCAGACGCAGACGTCCACCTTGGACACGCGAAGGAGACAAGCGGTCTGCGTGAGACGGGCCTTCAAAAAATACGGCTCCAAGAACAATCCAAATGTCATTCTGGATGGCTTGAACATGACTGTGCCTAAAGGCACGATGTGAGTAATTTTATCCTTGATTCATCCTTAATTCTTACGAGTGATGACAATAAAACAATCGCTGCGTTACACAGTTATGGACTGCTCGGTGCGAGCGGTTGCGGTAAGACTACCTTGTTGTCATGCATCGTCGGCCGCAGGCGATTAAATTTAGGCGAAATCTGGGTCCTGGGTGGCCGACCAGGGTCCAAGGGATCCGGGGTGCCTGGGCCCCGGGTTGGCTACATGCCGCAGGAGATCGCCCTGTACGGCGAGTTCTCCATTAGGGAGACATTTATCTACTTCGGCTGGATCGCCGGCATGACGACGGATCAAGTGGACGAGAAACTGGAGTTTCTCATCAAGGTGCGTTTTCTCAGCACGTTCCTTTGCTGCCGCGCTATTCCTCGCGTTGATCCGCTGCAACGTTTTTGTCGCAGTTACATTGAATTCTATATAGTTTTGCGTGACGTACGCGTCTTTACACAAGAAAAAAACCCCGAAAAAATCGATCATGTGGATGTGTTGCACATATAACACATACATTCTTTAGATCATCAATTATTTGTGAGATTCCATCTAAACTGACGCGTGGAAAATGATTAAGTTGCTCGAGCACATCGTAACAAGTTTCTTTTTATAAGGTCATGAAAAACGCAAATCACCATTATAATAAAAAAAATTCTGCAAAGAAATATAATTACATCTGACATGTCATCGCGTAATATAGTTTTAGTTTATATAACTTTTTATTTCCTTTTAAACACACAAATAAATCGTTTCTTTTATTTCTTTCGCATGTACACAGTTTTCCATTAATGCAATCTCGTAGGACAATTAAAATTTTCGTTCAAAGGTGCCATGCATAAAATATTTATGCATAAGTGTTGATTATTCGAACGCTTGTCGATTCCTTGAATAACTGACAGTTATGATGCACGAATATGCAAATATGATGTGCCTGGCTGGAAGTTTCTGATGTCACTACGACTAGGAAATCCAATACTAAAAAGTTACGATAAAAGTTACGATATCAACAAGTCTTTTTCTACAAAAAGACTCACCGTGGAACTCTGATAAATATATTATTGAGAATATCTATTAAATATGTCAGAAACGTGATTTTATCGAAATAACTGAGCGATTGTGTTTTGATCGCAGTTTTCGTAATTACTCTTCAAACCATACACCGCAATATATTTTTACACACATACGTGTTCGATTATATACAAGAAGAACGGTCCAGAGAAATCGATCATATGGGTTGTACGCACGTGTGAGACAAATACACATATACGTTCTTCGGGTTATAACGTGCAAATTTTCCGATTACGTACGATATGAAAAAAAATTTTTTTTTACGAGTTTATTGTGTAAAAGCAATAAAATATTATTGAAATAAGATAATTATTAAATAAGATATGTTGTAAATAATGCGACAGGACAATAACTACGTGTGAATTGTGATTGCAGTTTTTGCAACTACCTTCAGAAAATCGTTTCGTCAAGAACTTGTCGGGTGGCCAGCAAAGGCGAGTGTCTTTTGCCACCGCTCTCTTAGCTGACCCCGAGCTCCTGATTTTAGACGAACCAACTGTCGGTGTAGATCCCGTTCTACGGCAGAGCATCTGGGATCACTTGGTGCAAATAACGAAGGGTGGCAACAAGACCATCATCATCACCACTCACTATATCGAAGAGACGAGGCGAGCTGCTCAGACATAATCCTCTAGCGAGTAATTATCGAAGGACTAATTATCGAAAAGACTTGTTTTTTCAGGCAAGCTGGTATAATCGGTCTCATGAGAGGCGGAAAATTCCTCGCGGAAGAATCGCCGACGAAGCTGATGGAGATGCACCGACTCGACACTTTGGAGGATGTTTTTCTGAAGCTAAGTAAGAAGCAAAATATGGGCTTACGTCGAAGGAGCAGCATCCTGAGTAGCATAACAGGCGTTCCACCAGAAAATGTGAGTGTGACTCGAGAGAATCTTGATGCATGCGTGGTAGTTTGGCAGTAATTATTCTTACTTTCTTTCTTAAATGCGCGCGCAGTTTGTCAACTCAAGCATCTCTCTCTTAGCTTATTTGATTCGTTTCAACATTGTCATTAGCTTTTATTATTACTGCTTTTCGGATTGCAGGACGTAGACGACGAAATGAGCGGTGAATTCGGCGACAACGTGAGCATTTCTAGTCGAAGAAGAAGTGTGGTCATTGTGGACGATGGCAATGTAATGATATGATATTTCTTAATTACTTTCTCTTGAATTTGATGATATTATTTCCTATATAATTATATAATAATCAAGATTATATAATAACTTTTATAATCATGTGCTTCTTTCGCGATAGCTGCCGTCGGAATTACCGCCGGAAGAAAAAGGTTCCTCCAAGTCCACTATGCTCAACCCAATGCACATGAAGGCTCTCATCTGGAAGAATTTTCTGTGGATGTGGCGGAATGTCGGGTAACTCGATCTTATGTTTAGCTTTATTAAAATTCTATGTTTTCACTTATCTTTCATTTATGCCCGTGCATTCTCATAATGTTGTCTTTATCGACATTGATAAGTGTTGTATCATTTTCTATTTTTATGCTCTCTTCCTCCTCACAGAATGATGGCGTTTATCGTCGGTCTACCGGCAGTTCAAATCATTCTCTTCTGTTTTTCCATCGGCAAGGATCCTGTGGGTCTTCAACTGGCCATCGTCAATCATGAATTAAACAGCACCGTTATGGAACCATGTATACCTACGACCGGCTGCGATTTGTCGCTACTAAGTTGCCGATATCTTCAATACCTGACTAAGAGAACTTTAGTGTTGTTACCTTATGACAACGATGAAGAAAGCAGAAGCGCCGTGGAGAAAGGCTTAGTGTGGGCTGCTATAACGTTCCCGTCAAATTATTCCAGTGCTCTCATGGCCAGGATAGAGGATGGAAGATATGCAGCAGAATGGGATATAGAATATTCTCAGATGGACGTTGTCATGGACATGTCTAGTATGCTTAGAAATGCTTTTCTTGGTCGAGAAAATGTTCTTCCGATCGGCTTAGTCTGAAATAGTCTGAAATTTTGAAACGTCAGTCATCTTTTAAACTTAAATCTTTCAATTTCGATTGGTCAAGCAAATATTAGAACTTAAAAATTGTTATAATATGTTATAGTATGTTATAGTACAAAAATTGTTATAATATGTTATAGTACAATATTATTTTATTTAAATACTCTTTATAATACAGACCAACAGATAGGCCAATTACTACGGAGGGACTTGATTTACGCGTACCAGGATTTCGCAAGAGACGTCTGTATAGCTTGCAATTACAGCGAGAAACTGACTAGCATACCTGTAAATGTAAGAGAAGAATTAACACGTAACATTACAATTCTCTAAGACATCTTCGATATTTTTACAATATAATTTAATTGTTAAATTAGCTCAAAAAGCCGATATATGGACCCTTGAACCCCAACTTCAGGGATTTTGCAGCTCCCGGAGTAATTCTGACGTGAGCACTTAATTTACAATATTTATTTTATATAATATGTATATTGTGTTCATACAAGAATATTTCTCGACAAATATTGAAGAGATTAATTAGTGTATTTAGTATTTAATAAATAACATATTTTTTTTTCTTAAATATACCTTTTTTCAGGATCATCTTCTTTATTTCGGTTGCCTTGACGTCAGGTTCTTTGTTGCTGGAGAGAAACGAGGGTCTGTTGGAAAGAAGTCTCGTATCAGGTGTGTACAAAAATGAATAATATAAAAGGAAATAAGTATTTTAACATTTTGCCAAGGTAGAAGTTGACTCGTAGTCGATTGAAGGTGAGGAGAATAAACACCTCGAATTATTATTTATTCATTACATATTTATTCAGGTGTTACTGGCACGGAGATTCTTTTCGGCCAGGTGATTACGCAATTCGTGGCGATGCTCGGACAGACAGTGATGGTTCTCATCTTCTGCTTCACGATCTTCAGGGTCACCTGCGAGGGTGATGTCGGCTGGATCAGCACGTTGACCATCCTTACAGGACTCTGCGGCATGTGCTTCGGTAATTTCTTCACTATCTTAATATCGCGATGGTCGATCGAGTTGCATGCGCAGAAAGCGCGAAGAAGCGATCTGATAGAAGCAATTCATTTTTCATTAGCTACCGTATGTATTTCTAGAAATTTCGTGTCCAATCAATTATGTAAATAAGAATCAACTAATTTTCAGGCTTTGTCATCGCGTGTTTCTGCGAGAACGAGCGATCCGCTACGTATGTGGCGATGGGATCGTTTCTACCCATTGTAATGCTCTGCGGCATTATCTGGCCGATCGAGGGCATGCACCCCATCCTCAAGTATATTAGCTTCCTGTTGCCGTTAACAAAGAGCACGGAATCGATGAGAGTGATTCTGGCCAGAGGCTGGCCGATTTCAAATCCGACCGTTTATTACGGTTTCATCGCCACGTTCATCTGGATTAGCATCTTCATGACCTTGGCGATACTGTTGCTCAAATTCAAGAAGGGTTGATTCGAAAGCAGCAAAAGGTGTGTGTGTAATTTTGTGGAAATATAAAAGAGTCAACCAACCTCTTTATGTGTAAATCGTAATACATATATATATATATATATATATATATATATATATATATATATATATATAACGAAGTTAGATATACCTTAATTATTAACATCTTAGCGATTGTTGTATAATAAAACTTAATAAAGGTAGGAAGTTTTGGACTTATTTAAAATTGGAATATCTTATTCATTTGGAAATATTTAGCCAATATCATTTTATTGGGGAGAAGATGAAGAGAGGGAAAGAAGGAAGAATCCTCTTACAAGGATACAAAAGAAACAGCTAAAAAAGCTATATAAATTATAATTAGTAAAAATGAATTGCTAGCTAATTCGCTTCCCGTGCCTGCCGATGAAAAAGACAGAAGACTTGCAGCCAATTGTGTACGGTAAATAATGCCTGCAATATCTCGTTGTGTTTAACGTGTAAACCGTCGAATAAGAATCTCACAAGGACAACAGTGATCTCCACGACAATGACGCAGAGCTGCATCAGCAGCCAAGGTGTGTGCAATATGGGATATTCCTGCGCGAGATGGAAATCTTTTAGTGAAAAAGAATTTTCAAGTAATTATCATTACTTTTTAATTCGTTTATGCTCACCGTGATAGCGCCTAATATAATCAACGTATAATGCTCGATTCCCAGTATGGAGGTCATCAGCTTCAAGTCCCTCTTGATGTTGACAGGTACTACGACGAATTTAATTATTATTGATTTTATCATAAATGCATACAATAATATTCTCCTTCATCGAAATCATTCAAATCACATCAAATATTTTTCTCGTTACCTATTCTTTTGCTAGTTCTTCCTTTGAGAAAGATTCATTGAAATACAAGCTGAAGATAAAAATGGTGATCAGTAAGATAGTGAAAAGAAATATTACCTTGTTGATCGTTTCGGTGGCGAGAGGAAGTTCTGGGAATTTCAAAATTCACTGTACGCACTACATCGAGGGCTGTGATTATCTGTAAAAATTTTACATTGACAAGCTCTGCTCTGATGCGACGGTTCTTTTGCGATCTTTTTGGGACTAAATCGCGACAATAGACTAAGTTTAACGAATGAACGAACATAATAAGAGTATTACGATAGACTAACGGTCCCAATGAGGCCTAAAACGATTACGTATGACGAATTGCCCATGACATAGTGATCGCATAAGGAGCAGGCTATTTGCCCCGCGCGTCCAAACCTCTGAAAAAAAGATATTAAACTCGTTCAATTTGTCAAGAATTAAATTACTATCATCGGTACTCGAGAAATATTAATTGCAGAAGCGTATTTAATTACAAAATATCCGCTACAGGCTTTGATGTGACGTCGATTGCGAAAAGCCATAATTCGCTTCACATCTAAATCCTTTTCCACGTGACCCGTTACATTAAATATAAAATGAAAGCGCATTAATTAATATAACTTGAATAAGGAACGTGTCGTCACCACCATACTTATACGTGTGTTCTCTGTGAAATGTTCGAGATACGTCAAACGATTAGTCAAAGAAGTCTGGCAAACTTGATTTCACATTATACACACGTTAACTCGTAAACACTTTCGACTCAAATAATTTGTTTGCCCGTGTGACGGTAAAATTGAATGAAATAAAATAATCTGCAAGCTCTCCATTAACTATGAACATAATAATCGCAGATTGTTATTCTTCAACTTCACTCTGCACAGAATTGGATAATCGAATGAAAATAGTGGTTTAGATATGACCCTCGTCCGACATCAATCGAGATATCGCCGAGATCAATAACACGAAGTACCGCGAATAATAAAGTTTCTATCGCGATCGAGTACAAGAGAATAAAGAAATTGCTCAATATTAAATTTTCCTTTCGCCGTCAAGTAAAATGTATTATTTTGAATTTGTTTCTGACTAGACGTGAAATATCATATCTCATACAGAATAAATATTCCAAATACATCCTAGAGAGATACCACAACTGTCAGGCATCTGTGAGTTATCTGTAGGATGTATTTAACATATTAGTGCTGTATGGAATATGACGATATGTAATGACGGAATATTCGTCATATCGTGTTTGCAGTACATACGAAAGTTACTACATGAGGATGGATACTCACAAGGAATACAAAGCGAAAGAAATATCGCCATTTTGGAAAGGATATTCTTATAACGAAATTTACGCGATAAGTAGAGCAACGTTGCTGGCGTTGTTGATATTCTACTGGTGTTATCACAGCCTGCAATATGGACCAATGAAGTTTACTATTTTGGAGGACCGGCAAATTCTTCCCGGTCTCGTGTTCTCGAAAAAGGCCGTTATAGCATTCTCCTGTGGTTATTCCACGTGGAATTCTATAGTGTCCGTTTTTGCAGCCATTATGCTTATCTATTCGATCATTTCGGTGAGCGAAACAATTAAATGAACTGCCTTTTTAGCTCTCCGAGTGCGAACGTGCCGTACACTCATAACGATCCTTTCAGAAACGACCACTATTTAGTTTACCTCTAATGGGTTTGTTCTTGACGGAGGTGGTGTACGACTCCTGCAACGTTCTCGTGATGATATGCCTGATTTTAATGAACCTGCATCCAGATATCGCGCTGCCTTACATCGTGATGCTTCTTCTAATGATTCGTAAGAAGAATCTATTGTTTCATTCAACAGAAACTAAAGTTCATTTATTACTAAGATCACACTCTGTTAAGAGAAGCTTTCCACTTTCTGTTTACGAATTTAGTGGCGGAAGTATGGATGTGGCTGGGTGTTGTACAGCTCTACGAGTGTCGAACGTACGAAATACGTTAAGTGACTTCACTTTTACCTCTCTCGACGAGATAACGAAATATAAATTCCTATACAAATTTTTGATACACTTTGAATATATAATTTGTACTTTCATGTATAAAATTTCTTTCTTCTTTTACGCAGCGTTATTTCTTTATTATATGAAGTAAGATATCGGCTACATCGTATTGTCAAGCGTATAAACGGTGGGACAATCGAAATCGTTGATCGAGCACTTCGATTTCAAATCGAGCATTCGCACCTCGGGACAATCGTTGATTCTGTGAAAAAAAATTGATCGTACGATATGTTCTGTGCGTAATCGTTCAGAATAATGCGCTAAAAATAATGATGTAACATTCGACGCGAAAACGAGTGGAATTAATCACGAACAAACGTGAACAGAAAGAGAAAAATTTGAATTGGTAATGCACCTCAGACAGAATCTGTTCAATGCGTCCTTCATACTGTAGATTCGCGTGGCATTCCTCGATAACTCCTGCAACAAAAATCCCAGGAATGCTTGGCAATGCACTTCCGTCGCTTGTAGATCGAGCGTCAGGTCGATCGCGGCCGATACGTTAGGTGCGCAGTTCTGCTTACCAATTCTGATTTATAAAAAGGAGGAGAAGCCTTTAAAATTCCATATTACCTTAAATTGTTGCATTTAAAATTGAAGCCTTTAAAATTCCATATTACCTTAAATTGTTGCATTCTATGTTTAATTTATTTATTTATGATTTATATTTACTATTGACTAATCTGTATATCTGCGTACACACTCACTTGCACAATGATTCGTTGATGGCTGCCAAACTGCAATATGCGCTCGGACGCATAGCGATCCCAGGAGAATTCCACAGCAAATATGTTTTCGCCGCCAGCAATAGCAGTTCCTCGTTCAAATCTCTCGCAGTCCTCGACAACTTTGACCTGAAAGGACAGAAAATTGAATTAGGTGCTAAACCGTGGAAGCACACATTGCATTAAATAGAAACAATTTCCACTACGCGCGAAATTACCTGCTGAAGAATTCGTCAACGGAGAAATCACCACTGCAAATATTAGAGTTTTTCGTAGTTAGTGCTGTTTTCAGATCAGTTTCCGACGTGTTCAAAGGCGCACTGGAAGTCCGTATCAAGTTAATTAAGTATATCTAAAATGTATCATTCGCAAGAGATTACTTTTATATCAAAATCATTCAAATCGATGTTACAATTTTTGCATACGCTCGTGTGTAAAATATCGAATTTCGATATGTACATTCATTTCGGGATGCTCTCTCGCCGCAGACTCGATGTAGCAGAACTCCCTCCTGGACCACGCCTGTGTGGCTTCCTTCACGAAATAGACATTAAAAGCTCGCTCGTCTATAAGGCCTTCCAATTCGCTGAAACGATCATACCTAAGCTAGCTTCACTTCTACACTCGTTCTAGAGAATTGGCCTTGATTAATCTTTTCTTTCAAATAGTGATTGACGAGTAATACCATTTGTACTTCACCACAGGTGTACAAAATATCGTCGTGATGAATGTGACGAACGTGATCAGAATCAAGCTCATGACGAGACATGCTATTACGAACAAGGCGGTGAGCTCGTCCGGCCATCTACTCAAATGATTCGCGACGCCCTTCGCGATCGGCCTTCTGACGTGCATGTGAGGAAACTCCACAGCTTGGATTTCGTCCAAGAATAAAGGGAGTCTGTCCTCGTCCAAGCCTGAAACTACGTTTCTTTTTTCTCATACTATCTAATATGTTAATTGCGAAATGAATAATTTAATAGGAGAGACATCGTCGTTTCACTCGCGCAATCTTATATCTGTTACGTTGTCGAACACTCACGCTTGACGTTCAGCATTCCCGAAGACAACTCCTTCACACTTTCGACTACTTTAGACCTTGCCGGTGACGCTACAAAGTTTCAGCGCAATTTGCCGCGTCAACGTTTTATCACGGTCGAGTGAATTAAACTGAGCGTTTGAGAATTTGGCGAGGTGTCTGTGTTGTGCAATCGAGAATGTGTCACGCTTCGTCCGTTTGCACGACGGGGACTTGCGCGATTATATTTCTTTAATATCACGAAATTCATTTGTTATAATATAGACGTTTCGGAAGTTAATAGGTCTGTTCTTTTTAGCTGAACTGCTTGAACTGGGTGCAATAAGTTAGAATGAAGCACAAGTTCAAACAGTTCAATTAAAAGGAATCTACCTAATGTCATCGGCTGCACTGAGAGAAAGAAAATATTTAAAAATTAGTAAACATATATTTGATGGATACTAACGGACATATTTACTGAAATATAAATTCTTTTATTTAAATAGAATAAATCATTGTTTTCATGAAAAATTAAAATTTTCTTAAGGTTTCAAGAAAATGTATATTTTTTTTATTTGAAAGATATTTTATATTATTATAGTATGTAAGTAAATGCTGTTAGTACTTATACTTTAAGAATATAAATACTTATCATCCCTTAGATATTTTTTCTTTTAGTGTAGCAACGCTAGGTTGAAAGGATACCTTAAAAAATGATGCTTTGAAGATAATTTCTCGTGTTGTATCTTTATTATATAAATAGTGTCTCGATCGATTATGTTGGATTTCGTATTCGCAAGTCATTTTATTTCTATAACATTCTCAATATAACATATAAATTAACATAATAAATCGTTAAATTAATCATACCATTAACACAAATGTATTATTCGGATATAATACATTGGTGCTGTAACAATAATAATAAATACTCTGCAATATATATTCGACTGAGTAATTTCGATAAAGAGAAAGAAGCGCGTTTTCATCAATATACGTCTTGAAAATCATATGGTATTAATATCATTTGCATGAATCACACACACGTCTAATATAATTTAATTAATATCATTTCTTCAAAAATTAATATCATTTTCTTAAAATAAAAAAAAGGAAACAAGAAAATAAAAGAGGAAACATTCAAAACTCAATATTTCGCCGCTTACCTACAATTTATGATTCGTCTTAGCTAACATCAAGTAACAATTTTGCTCGTTCGAGTCGTCAAAATCGTTAAACAATTTTCTAGATACATTTGAGAAGCTACGTTTCGTCATCGTTTCATTAATGTGCTGCAAGTCGTTATCCGTACAAGTAATTCTTTCTCCCGAGACTGCAACATTGGCACATTTTATTACGTCGCTGTCGTTCTCAACAAAACGTTGGTCGTTTTTGCTTAAACGAGTGTCCAGATCTTCAAGCCGCTCTTCTAGATTGTTATCGTCATCAACGAAGCGTTTGGAAGACAAATCGCTATCCGAAGAAACCCTATGCTTAATATCATGGATACTGTTGTCTATATAATTAAACGGAACTTCGATATACTTCAATGTGCTGTGGTCTTCATCAAAAAAGTGCTTATGAGACAGATTACTATCCGAAGAAGCTCTATTCTCAGCGACATTTTCGATGCTGTTGCCCGTATGAGAAGATATATCGATAATTCGACTTTTGGCGCACTTCACTGAAATGTCATCTTCATTGATGAAGCGCTTTCGAGAGAGATTGCTACGCGAAGAAGTCCTACTCTCATCAACAATCTGAATATTGTCACATACGTGTCTGGATACCGCGACAATTGGCACTTGAACACACTCTTCCGGGATACGGACGTCACCAAACACACTCTTTTGAGATAAGTTGTTCTCCGATGAGCTGCTATCTCCTTTTACTTCATCAACATCCTCAAACCTGTTCCTAGGGAGCAAGTGTGGTTTCGTTCGACCACATTCTGGACTCAAGTTGGACAAATTTCCTTCGTAAAAACCCGATTCCGGCGAGAGATCGGAAAACGGAGACACCAGAGACCGGAAATCAGCGGGATGATATTTACGTTGTATTATTATCTTGGCGAGACGACTAGCGGGTCTTCTCTTCTCGCTCTCGATTCTGATCTTGTCGTATCGCTTCACCCAATGGTCATTTTCCCGTTCAGAAATGTCAGGATTCGATCGTTGATTTAACGTCAACGATTCTCTCAAAGTTTTGTATCCTTCCTCCAGCATCTTAATATATTTCATGTTATTGATCGCGTTTCTTTTTGGTTGCTCGAAGACTTCCTCATCGTCTTGCTTCTTATTTAATAAAGGATCATGCATTTCTAATCTTTTCTCAAGACATATTTCATAATCCCTCGTGTTGATCGCATTTCTCTTGGATTCCTTGAAGAGTACTCTGTCATTCGTCGCAAAAGAATCGTCGATTAAATGTGTACTAAGATCCATTGCGGGCTTTTTGTTTGGGAAGAGATCTGTCTTCGGATTCTCCTGATCTCGATTCAATGAAAAAGTCAGTTGGCCGATTGCGTTTCTTTCGGATTCCTCGAAGAATCTTCCGTTGCTTATTACGGATTCATCTCTGCGATTTCTGTTAAGTTTTCTTAAAGATTTTTGCTCCTCGTTCAAAAAGATATCTGTTTTCTGATCTTGATTTACTGGTACAACGTGACATCTCTGATCCTGTATCCTTAATTCTCTTTCAAGATACATTTTGTGATTCTTGTTGTTCTTTATTTTGCATCTTCTACCGGGTATTTGTAAAATATTCCTCACGTCCTCATGATTTTCTTCCACTTTCATGAGAGGTAATTTCTCTTCCTTGTAAATCTTGGAAGTATTTCTTACGTTTAATCTGTTCCTTTCCAGGGGTCCCTGTATGTTTTCTCTCTCTTCTTCAAGGATAATCTTCCGGCTACTTCTAAGAGTTTTGCTTCTTTCTTCGTACAGTTTTATCGGGCCTCTCCGTGAAACTCCTTCCTCATCTTCGAAGACGATCTCTTGACTGTTTTTCAGGATCTCTTGGTTCACTGCTTCTGGTAAATGTTCAAATTCCATATCGTCCATCACTTGAATGGCGTTGGGGTCAAAGTCAAACACCCTCGGCGATTCAACATTTTCCATTTGAGGTCCATGCGGAATATTGTTCAAACTTGGCTGAACTCTGCCGGCATTTGGCCACCTCTGCTCATCCTCTATGCTGCCGTGACTCTTTGGAGTATCCAGGGGCGCGAGGGACACTTTAAAACGCCGCTGATTGATTGGCTGACACCAGCATTGTCGCTCCATCAGATCCTCATCGATCGGGACACCTGGAAGACAGTCTGCTGCTTAAATTCACTCCTCAGATCCAACTCGGGATCGAAATTTGCAGTCAGTTAATGCTGTTATTGGTTTTTTATTCTCGTCATGCTGAAGACAGAACTTTCTTCACATACAATCGGATATATCGAAAATCGGAAAACCCAAGTTTCTTCTCTCCTCGAAAGCAAAAATACCAGTTTGTTTCATTATGAGTGCAGAAAAGGTGAGGAAATGCGACTAAAACGAACAATTGTACTTCTTAAATTGACCTATTTGTTATTGTTACGAAAATATACAGACCATGTGGCACATTTTCTACGTGCATTCTTATTGCATTTTCTGCACTCAAACTGAAGTAGGCATATAATTAAGAGTCGGAAAATGTTTGCCCAAACACCCAAAAGTTCCAAAATTACAAGAGCAGGACCATTACAAACGTAAGACGATAAGATTACGTTCACCTCTTTAAACAACACATGTAAACTGTGCACTGAAGTTCAAATCGCATTACAAAAATTATCTTGCGTTCTACGCTTTCTTTTTGTCGAATCGATTATTTAACTGATCCAACGTACGATCTCGATGCAATTTCAATTTTCATTGCCCAGTTTTGCATAGTATTTATAGACAATCACAAACAAATTGATATCACAAACAGAAATCTGCGAAAATCCCTTCCCAGTTCGTGTCCTCGAAATATGTCGACGGGTTTGAATAACGTTTCGCTGAAATTGACCGTAGAGCTTCCTTCTAAAATCTTGCGTATGATCGAGATGCAGTTCATGTCTTCAAAGTATCAATCTCGAAATGGATTTTGAATTGTACAGATATCTTTCATCCAAACCGATATAATTGAATAGTCTAACTTATCGCCAGAGTAACTTATCCTTTCAGGTATATTCTTCTTACAGGTACCTTTTTCCTTCTCTCTCATCTATTTTCATTGTTGTTTTTTCTGTACGTGTCTTTTGCCTTATCTTTCTCTCTCTTATTTTAACTTCTTCCCTCCGATGATGGATGATTATTCCACGATCGAGAAAGAAGGACGGATATAAAAAATTGATGGCGAGTTTTGGTCATCGTACAAGTCATAGGAATCCCCGTTTTCTTTTTCTCCCTCTTTCTCTCTCTCTCACACACACATACACGCATGCACACATGCATTTTCTTTCTCTCTTTTTTTAGTCTACAGAAACCGACGTCACACGCCCGGGCAGTCGTCGATAGACGGAATGTCGATGTGCAGTTTGGGCGGTCCTTGGGAAGAGGAATGACCCTGATGAACGAGGTGGAAGCCTGTGTTGTCGGTAGCCCGGGGGAGCGTGTCGAGCACGGTCGGGGCGCTCTTCGGCTCGCTAGGCACTCGCCTTAGACCTCCATCTGTGATACAGCCGGTGTCGGACAGTCAGACAAGGACGATTACGTGCTACATGCCAAGCTACGTGAAGCGCTTAACTTTTAAGTTGCTCTACCATAGATTATTAGCTCTCAACGTGTCTGCGACATAAAAATCGACAAAATGCTCGAAAAATCCCCGCAGTTGAAGCAGGAAGCAAAAAATTCAACCCTATAACCCAAGCAATGAAGATATAAAGTCATATGCATGATGCATATATTAACAGAAAGACGAGATCATACATTTGAAGGGAAAAATAGGAATATATTATGTCTCGAAATGCTGAGATCATGTACGAAGCGGAAAGGAAGAAAAAAGCACAGTTGATCATATGCAATGCAATACAGGAGGGAACGCGAATACTCTGTCAAGAGATTTTAGAGATAACGTCAAACGAACCGCGTTTATATCGACGTGTTGTAACAAGTAAGCATATCGTCTATCAGCGAGATAACATCGATTCGTTTAGGAATGTAGATCGCAATGCAGATAGAATCTGTTTTGACGTCGAAAAAATCTTATATCTCTAGACTCGTAGATAGTCGAGTCACTGTGTCGATGAGGCACGCTCTTGTCGAATAAAATTACTTCTAAAATCAATTAGTATTCGCGCTAACTTATCTTATCTATTTTAATGCTTGATTCACCGAACAGAAGTAATTACACGATTCTGTTCGGTAAGCCGAGAGTAAACCAGAAAACAAAGAGGAGAACGCCCTCACAACCGCTCACCGGTTCCGTGACGAAGATCGTCCTGCACCTTGTAGAATTCGGCGAGTTCCTTGCCGGAGCACAAGGGGGTGTCGACCTGAGTGGTACTGTCGAACAGCGAGTAATCCACCTCGTAGCCTTGTCGTTCCTTCGAGTAGCTCACCATGGGATCGAATCGATGACCCCAGAGAATTTCCTGTGGCAAGTAGCTGGACCTGGCCTGTGTGGTCTGTCCTGTGGACTCGATGGTGCCCTCGAGGATCAGCACTACCTCGAAACGATCGGTAAGCATGTCTTCGGCCGACATGTTGTAGAAGGGTGACTCCTCGTTGATTCGATGGATGATGGTGGTCGGCCAGATGAAAAATAGATCGCCATTCTGGCCGTCGGTGCCCACCACCAGCTCCTGTTGGTTCTGCGACAATATCTCGCCCTCCTTCGTGGTTCTGTTGCGAATCACCTGAGCGCGAACGCTCGCGCCGATGATGTGACTCTTCCGCATATCGCCCACGCGGAACATGAGACAGAGCTCACCGTCTCGTTGACAGATGACGGCGTTCCGCGAAAACAACAGGGTCTGGGTGCGTTGCTTCGGGCGTGTCATCTTGGCGAACACGATACCCACCTGGAATCGTCGTGATTCTCCGTTATTCGATCTATCTTCCATTCAATTCTCCGACTGATTCAATCGAAACCTCGAAGAAACTCACCATGAAGGCCTGGATCATGACGCCGGCGATGCTCTGAATGCACATGACGAAGATGGCTTCGGGGCACTCCTCGGTAGTAGAGCGACTGCCGTATCCGATGGTGTGCTGGGTCTCGATACTGAAGAGGAAACAGCTGGTGAAACTGAAGATATTGTAAACGCAGGGTGTCCAGTTATTCTCCACTTGGAAGGGCGGCAGATGACTTTCCTCGAAGTCACCGTGAGTGAAGGCAATCAGCCACCTGGACACATAGCGAGTTTAAAACTTACAGCTCATATCTACAGACAGGACCGCCTCTCAAAACACTTTCTTCCGGGATATTGTCCCACATAGCACAAACTTAAAAGAAAATAATTTAAAGACGTCTGAAGGACTTATCAAAGATATTTAAATAATGTAGAGAGTTTTCTGGACGTCTGTAAGATATCTTTTAGAAATTCGTGCTGTCCGGGATACTTTCAGATTCTTTCTAAAAACTAATACTGTCACTCACCAGATCACCGCGAAGCCTAACCAGGACAAGAAGAAGCTCAGGATGAAGCACAGCAGCGTCCAACGCCATTGCGTGTCTACCAGCGTCGTGAAGATATCCTGCAGGAAGCGCAGCGATCGCCTGGAGATGCGCGACTGCAGTACATTGCAGTCGCCGTTCTTCAAGACGGCGCGACGACGCAGCTTCCGCGTTGGTCCAGCCCGGTATCGGCTCCTGAAACACCAATGTCGCCATAAATGAGATGAGATTCGTAACGTTCGCGGACAGACAGTTGATATTAATCAGTGAAACATCTTCGTTCAGTGGATATCTTCGCGATATCCAAAGTGGACCCAAAACTCGTTCGCATTTACAGTGATATCTTCTCGCGGGCACGAAGTTTTAAAGGTGGAACACAGAACGGAGAATAGAACGAGTAGAGGCACTTTTGCGGCGCGCTATTTCGCCTCGACAGGAAAAATTATCGCCGGTACGTGCGTTTTTAAATGCAAAATGCAAAACCACCGACGTGACGCATTGTCATCAAGGTCGCGTTGCATTGCGGCTCTTGCCGCGACATGTAGATCACCGCATCATGTTAAACACGACGGATTTGAATAACAAATCCCGAATAAAGAGTACGACGCGAGTCGTTATCTTCGTCGACGAAATTTACATAATGGAACTGCAGGAGCGACCAGGTGTTATTTGTGTGACATAACAATACACATCGATGACCTGAACGGAGGATCGACGAATTTCGAAGTTCACAATACTTCCGCGGTGTTTTGGGCGCGCATAATGCAAAAGATCGATCGAGCCACTCACCATGGATCTCTGCGCATCGTGCGTCATTGTTCCCGAACTTTGGCATGACAAACAGCCGAAGTAAAACACACCACAAAGGCAATGCCCTCGGCCAGCTGATCGGCTCGCTATCGCGGCAAGTATCGTGAGAATTTTATTCGTTATCCTCGAACATGTTTTCCCAGTAGCGCGTCCCCGTAATCATATGCACGCGCCTTGTCACGTTCAATTATACAAATAAATGCGCACATTAACTCCAACGCAACAAGACACAACGATCAGACGGAACTTTCAGCTTGATAAATCACTTGTAAGCTGCGTGTTAGCTTCGATATAGCGAACGAACTCCCATATGGCAACTCGAGTCTCTCACGCTTGTCGATCACAATTAACGTGTCATAAATGCAACTTCCCTGTACAACTTTTCTCCGCAAATCGCGTTTCGATTTTCGCAAACGCGTTGGCTGCAATGTCGATTATGGACGAACTACGAACCGGAGACTCGCATTACGCGAGAAGCTATGTCACTGTCGGCGGCCCGACGTCGCGGAGAAGACTCTCGCGGGGAGGTCTCCCTCGTCTCCCTGTCCTCCTGGCGTACACAAAAAGGAAGTCGCCATTTTGACTTTGAACGATAACCGAGCAGGCGTTATCTACCAATTTACTTATTGCCACACGTTAATCAGTCAGTGAGCCAGCGTCAGCCTCCGTCTCCGGGTCGACGATATCGCGATCAGCTGATCGGATGGAGGTCTCTCGCACGAAAACGTTTCTTGTATCACTGCTGGAATCGCATGGAAAAAGAAATTCGATTGTACTAAACAGTATCCAGTGAAATATAACGAACCAGAAGAATTTCGATTAAAGTTATCGGAATTTTGCTCAAATTAATCGGATTGACCAAGCAAAAGATTTCTGGTTAACCAGAATGTTGTTAACTTAAGCAGAATTTTGATTACTGCAAACGGAATTCTTTGGCTCGTTCATATTTTATCAGATATTTGGTTAATTCAACCAAATTTTTTTCCGCACGCAAGTAGTTCTGTAGGTGTATTTTTATTTTACTACGTTGAAAAATGACACGCAGGAACGAAGCTTATTTGCTCTACGACACTTTATCAAGTAAAGTAATAATTCATAAAGAAATTTTTCTAGAGTTATACAACGATTCTTGCGTGGGCACACATAAAATTCTATTGACTGTCCAAATATTTAGCTTTCGCGAGCGATTTAGCACGGCCTCGAGCGATCCGTCATTAAGATACCGCCTTGGATCTCTAAGACGTTTATCAAGCATCGCGAGACATTGATAAGAGCTGGAGAATAGATGAATTCGCACTTGTGCAATCTCGTTTGTACAGAATCTAAATTCTACGTGTTAAACGGCATTTATCTTTTCACACACATACACACACGCGCGCATACACACACAAGAAATGAAAATATTACAACTTCAATATACATATATATATATATATATATATATGTATATCGTATATTATATAATAAATTGTTTAGCACGAGAAAAATTGAGGAAATCATTGATATTGTACATATCAGCAAAAGTATCGCACTACGCGCGAGAGCTGCATTGTTGTCGTTCACGTCGTTGCAAACGTCATCGCCGTCACGAGGATATGCAAGAATGGTTAAGCGTGCAGTTTTTCACGCTTCTCAATTTTTGACGGCGTAGATAATTAAAGAGTTGGGAGCGCAAGCGTATAGCTCAGCTCCGGTAAATTGTAAAGCAAGCGCGCGGAAAACAATAACTATCTTATCGTATAATAATACTTGTTTCCGTATTCCTCGAATTATCCCCACTTTTATTCCTCTCGAAATTCACATCGCGAGATACGATTCAATTGTATTCACAGCGAATCGATCGCAGCTCACCAAGAAAGAAGAAGAGATGTGAAGGAAGAAAGAGGAAAAGACGAAAGAAAATATCGGGGAATCCTGCTCCAGGATCGTGCTCCATTTACCTGTACCTGAAAGACGAGTACGGATTCTTTGTCACTTGCAGGATCATCGGCGTCGTCGGCGTGGTCGGCGGCAACAGCTTCTGATCTTCTCCGCAATCGGGCGACGACGATTTGTCGCTCATTTTCGGCACGTTACCGTTCATTCCATTCATCTCGATCCGCTCTCTTGATGCACAGCACTGACCTCTCGGTCCCGAATGTCCTGAATGTCCCGAATGTTGAACGTGGCTCACTTAAAAGATGGATCGACCACGTGCGATATCCCAATCGTTGACATTCTAAACGAATCAATTTGCCAATTGCAAAGATCCTGTTCTAATTTTTCTTTTTTGATACCCGATATTCAGACCGATATCAAGACCTTCCTTGACGCGAAGACGCGCGGTCTGCTGACGTTTCACTATTGCGCTATCGCGAGCTCTCACCTGATCCGAAGATCCCTTTAATCTAACGACTCGAAGGATTCTTCAATCTAATGACGTAGACGAGACTGATAAACAGGTGATCAGTATTTGTACTGTCTCGATGTACTTATCGATTCTCTTGGTTTTTTGCAAAGATCTGGAGCATTTCTCACACTCGACAATTGGTCACAAATATTCTCGTCTCAAGTGTAAGACCATCTTCTCTCTTAGAAACTGTCTTCTGTGATCGTTTTAGTTCGCGACGCTCTCGAAATTATTGGCGAATAAATTTCCGACACTCGTGCATTTTTCCACTTTGTTCTCATTATTCTCTGTATAAATTTCTGCCCTTTTATTCCCTCTACAACCAACTGTGAAGTTCGTTTTCCATTAGTTAACTTCTCTGATCCACACACTTGGACTCAACGAGGAACACACCTTCAGTATTTGCGCATATCCTTCTCGTTGAGTCGTTTCCTTCCCACGGGAGCTTCCAACCTCCCGGAATGTCGCAAGTCTCACTCCGAATCGCTCAATTCCAAAATTCGCGGACAGCGTTTCTCGTGCCGCCTTCTAATTCGCGACGCATTAGAATAACAATAAATGAATAGGCCAGATTCGATCGACAGATGACGCGCGTTAGATCGACGGAGGCGGACGGTAGTGGCAGATCTACTGGTATGCACTCTGCTGATCCAGGACGTCTTATAGCGCGCACACAGTGACTACCGGCTGCTGTTTATCGACCGCTAACGAACCGCCGTTTGTTCTTCCTATTCGCGAAGAAAAGGTGATCATTGACAGTCGCGGCCGGTTGCGTCACTCACGATCGCGCTCGCGACAAACAGCGAGAAATTCGCTCGTGATTTCCTTTCTATATTTTTCCTACTGGCGAGTATCGATTGTTGCTTTGTCGCTAAGAGAGTCGATAACACCAACTCGTGGAAAGAGCCGTTTAACTGCGCGAGATCTCAGAATCGCGGGCGAACGCAACCGCGATTTTGTAATTCGCGTGTTTCGTTGACTGACTAACTGACTGACTGACTGGTGTACTTCTTATCAATGTCTTGGCATCTTGTTATCGGCATCCGACCGGCTGCTAAAATTGTTGATGTACGCGAAACACGTGACGTGACAAAAGATTATCTCCTGTCTTCTCGACCGGAGAGAGAAAGAGATATATATAACCGTCAGTAGGTACTATAAATTTCCTTAAGTTCCAATACTGTGTCGAAGTTAGTATCTAAGGAAAGTTGATTTATACACTGAGAGAAAAGAAATGTTCGATCTAATTAAAATAATCGTTACTTTTGGTACCCAACCATATTTGCTGGTCGCTCTAACACAAAAATGACATGCACACCAAATTATTATTATTAACATTACACAATAGAATTTAGTAAAAAATATCTTTCCTGACCATAATGTATAATGATTACGTCTTTATATGATTATGGTTACAAATACCAAATATGTTTTCCTCAATGCACTCCAAATGGAATTTCAAGAAATGTTACATTCACATTTGCAACAATAAGAATAATGATAACAGATATGCAACAGATAATAGATATTGCAACAATAAAAGTAATGATAACAGATAACAGATATAAATAATGATAATATAGGTAGGCGATTGTGAAGCGACATGTAATTTAGCTGACAAGCTGAAGTGTACTTGTAAATTATTTAAATTATAGATTTTCAGGCTTACTTAGTTTGCAAGATACAACTTCGATAATAAACCTAATAGTTTACACTCGAACTCCGAGTTTACTAATTAAGCTGACGTTTAAAACGGCAAAAAGGTAAATCGTCTGTTGCACCAACCAGCTGCTCCGCTTTGTACAAATGGATCTCCTCGTCGAAACGCTCGCTCTTCCGCGAGAATGCCGGCCTCTCACGGTCTCCGTACTCTCGGCTGCGATCATGTGATCGATTATTTGTATATCTTGATTCGCGCGAATCAAGTCAACGGCGCAAAGCTGCTCGTGCAGTTTGATTCGGCTGTATGGTTTCGTTTGCGGCTGGTACAGGCTCAATTGACCGTTATCACGCGGCGATAACGAGCCTTTCAATTAAATTAACGAGCGGCCTGGTCTGGCAGAGGCTGCGTGCGACAGACAATTTCTAGACTCGCGATCGCGAAATCGATTCTCGAGGTCTCCACAAAGTCCTTCTGATTTCCCAGTGAAACCTTGACTCTTCATTCGAGTCCGTGCAAATTTAATATAAAGAAAAGTCAATCTTTTCTGCAAATTAATTTTTATGAAAATGAAGAGCGAATCCCACATGAAAAAGAAATCTCAGTTCGTGAAACTTGATAGGGATCAGATGAAAATTCGTCCGCGAATGATACTTCTGTTCCCGCAACCAAGAACATTTATCTGAACATTTAGCTGTATGAAAACTTAGTTGCAATTGAAGACAATTGATTGAGTGGAAACCTCCTACTGGGATCTTTCTGCTCCCACTAGAACTACCAGACAACAGGAAGTTCAGTCAGTTACACTGACGGAATCGTTTTTTCCGTGCAGTAATCTATCTTGGACGAGAATCAAGACCGACTTCCGTCGGCTCCCGTCACGATCGCGCGAACAGGCTCCTCTAAATTTAGCTCCTCTAATTCTATTCGATCAGCGAAATTAGCAATTGGCTAATATTTTCCACATCGATTTCTTTATCTACCTGCTTAAGGGTCCACGGAGAACATCTGTCGTGGCGCGAAGGCGCCGATAATCGCGCCGGCAAACGCGACGATTTTAGCGAGTGTATCTTAGGACGGCGCCTTCGCGCACAAGTACACAGATCTCACGCCATACTCGTGATTCGTATTGCCTCTGTAACGTCTGCAGTGTGTGAAATTAAGAGTATCGTAGTGCTAATGCTTCCCACCTTTTCGTAGAGCAACAAACGGGCATCTAATAAAATATGACGAATGAAGAAATCGCGTTAAATTGCGCGCAATAAATAGGAGCAATGACAGATCCCGTCATCATACCGCAATAGCGGACTGATAGGTTTTGTGTAACGTTTTAGTATCACTTGGGGAACTCGGATACGAGATTCCTCCGATCGATCTGGACGGAACTTTTCCCACAAGAAATAACGGAAGTTTCTACTTTGAAATATCGTAGTCATTTATTTCTTTCTTCGTCGTAATTGAACTCTTACAAGGTAATTGTCACAACTACATCGTCAAAGATCTTCGTTGCTGTTGCGATTTCGGTAAAGAGAAGTTTGCACGTGACGTCACGGCGAACGGAATGCCCCGAAAAATGCGCAGCTAGGAGCTACAGGGTTCACAGTAAACGTCGTATGTACCGAGCGCGCGACGTGCAGGTAGAGAAAATGTCGCGATAATAATGTCGCGCGTCACTTGGCTCTGATAAACGACCGAACCCGGTTAGGAATGGGAATAGCGGCTGAAGGGTAAACATACTCGCGCACACGGTAACCTCGTTCGCGCACGCGACACGCGAAACATAACGTTAATAAAACGTATGGCTGAGCGTTAATTGCGTCTAACAGCGATGTTGTTTGCTTGCCCGATGAGAGACTTATCCTCCAAGACTTCTACTCACACGACAAGGACGATATCCCTTCGATAATACGAACGAGCCATTGAAATGTCACTTTCAATGATCGAGCTCAAGGGAACGCGTTATCAGCTGTATGTCTCGTCGTTGTCGTCGTCGTCTCTCTCTCTCTCTCTCTCTCTCTCTCTCTCTCTCTCTCTCTCTCTCTCTCTCT